GGGGGGGGGCGCGGGCAGGATCCGCAGGGGCCCGGATGGGGCAGTGCAGGTTCTGAGGCCGACTCCGCAAATGTTCTATTGCTGTGTGACAAACGACCACAGACTTAGTGGCTTAAAATCACAAATGATGTCACATTTCTGTGGGTCAGGAGCCCAGCGAGTTTTAGCTGGATCCTCTGCTCAGGGTCTCACAAGGCCAAAATCAGGGTTTCAGCCAGCTGCGTCTTCATCTAGACGCTCAGCTAAGGAAAGAGCTGCTTGCAGACACCCTCAGAGCGTTGGCTGACTTAATTTCCTCCTGGGTTGCACAGCCGAGGTCCCCACGGTCTTGCTGGCTGTTGACCGGGACTGCCCTCAGCTCCCAGAGGCTGTTCTCAGGTCCTGGCCCCTCCTGGACCTGCCATATTCTCAGCCTACAGTCTCTGACTGCAGCGGGGCCCGTTTAAAGGTTCCCCTGATTAGGTCAGGCCCACCTTGGAACGCTTCCTCCTGATTCATTCCAAGTCACCTCGCCCCAGGGGGTGGTATCCCATCATATACTCAGGCCGCCCGCTCATGGGCAGAGGATTCTGCAGGGCGTGTTCCCCCGGGCATGGGAGTCGTGGGGCCAGCTGAGAATTCCGCGTGCCACGCTTTCTGTACCCCTTTTCTGACTTCTCTGCTCCCCGGCCATGGGCCCCTGGGCAGGCAGCCTCACTCCTCTGAGCCTCATTCTCCCACGTGGTGAAATGCGTGGTGACGCTAGACCACCTTTAAGGGCTGGTGTCCATGGAGGAGAGAGTGGAGACCCCTGGGAAATAGAACAGGCCCTGTGCTTACTCCCCCTGCCTCTCTCTCTTACAGGAAGCCTTGGGAGCAGGTCCCCAAAAAGCCAAAGCGGAAGAAAAGTAAGTGGGGCTTCAGCCGGGGCGGGGGAGGGGATGGGATGGGTGTTGGGAGTAAGAGGCTTTGTTGTGCGTTCCCTCACCCATGCTCAGGCACCACGGGCCAGGGGCTGTGCGGGACAGGACAGACCCAGCCGTGCCCCCACGTAGCCCATGGTCTCATGGGAAGGCAGGGGACAGGCCCAGTGGGGCCATGGCAGGGAGGTAGGGGCACTGCGGGCCCAGGGACACAGCCAGGCCTGCGGAGGGGGGAGGGGGGGGGCAGGAAAGGTCCCAGAGGGGACTGGAACGTGTGCTGTGCCCAGTGGGGGTGCCTCCGCCATCCCCAGCTCCCACACAAAAGGCTAAGTCACCACTGGAAAGCGGTTACAGTTGTCAGAGGCATGGGCCAAGCTAAGTGTGTGACCTCCATATCCCAAAGTGTGGGAAGGGAGCTGACTGGAGAGGCTGCTGCTGGTGGTGTCCCTATTTGCCCGTGGTCGTCACTGGGTGGGAGGCCCCAGGCAACCCCCCTAGGCCCAAGGACCCTTCTGGGCCGCCTCCTCATGTCCCAGCTTGGAAGACGGGGAGGACACTTTCCTCCCCATCGGCTGCAGGACAGGCACCATTACACATATCACAGGTACCATTTCTTGGGCATTCAAAGTGTGTCCAGCCCTGTTCTGTGCCCTGCCGACGTCTTCACTCCCTCCTCTCTGGCAGCCCTCGAGAAATGGGGACCATTATTCTCCCTGACCCAGAAAGGGGAGGTGAGGGTCAGAGAAGCCAAGTCACTTGCCTGGAGCCACCTAGCTATGATGTGGCAGTCAGGATTTGAATCGCACGGTCTAGCTCTCACGGGGCCCACCTCCTTGAAGCATTTACTCATCCGGCAAACATTTGCTGAGCATCTACTATGTACCAGGCCCTACGTAGGCATTGGGGATACAGGAGGAACAACACAGATAGCGTCCCTGCCCTTGGGG